TGAATTTTGGAAGATAGATCGATCAAGAATTCCCTGACAATTGGCGACGCCAATATGTATTGTTTTATACGCCCAATTGAACTTCTCAAAAAGAGTGAATACCATCTTCACACATTTATAAGTATTGATATGGACAATTGTTTAATAACAAAACAAACTTGAGTCTGTTGCTGGTCTTGTGTTCTGTTGTCTTGGAAACAACGCCGAGCGCCCTCTTTCAGTTTGATAGAAGAAACTGTTCTGTCTATTGAAACAAAAAACTGTTACATCGCTAGTTCTCCCGCCTAAGTCTTCGCAGTTCTGTCATTCATACTCACATATTGCAATGAAAGTTTAATCCCTAACTCCTACGAGTGATCAAGACAGAATTTCTTCTTACAAAATCAACACAATATCAAGCAGAAAAGTGATGGGAATAAACAGAAAAATATCAATTAGGGGATGACTAGTTGATCCAATACCAAATTCTCCTAACTTACCTCACAAGAATTGTATGGTGGAAAGGAAAGGAAAATTACTAATGATATCTGGGAGATAAACGGTTAATAAGACAGCAATGTAAATGCGTGACTTTCAAACTTGCGTGACATTTGCGTTACAGTTGGCCTTTGTGCCATTTGATTCCTTTAAATAGTTTTTCTCTCCCGCTTTCATTAATCGCCTGTTCATCCAAAGTTAATTTATAAAGTGTGATTTCAAGCCACCGGCGTATAGGGACTGATATGTAAGTTGTTTTCGCCTTTTTTGTTGTTTATCTCGTTTCGAGCAAGCTCTTTCGTCTTTATTTGTATATATATTTTGTGTTTGCCGTAGCATTTGGTTCATTTATTAGTTCCTTTATTATGTTAGATTCATTTACGCTGTTAAGTCGCCACGTGTTTAATTGAATACAATCTATTATATAAGTCCCTTTTTTAATTCGTTTACAGTTTACGAGATTGATTGAAGTTATGTCCCTGTAATATATCCCCTGGATTTGGTTGGCATTTTTCTCCGGTCACGATTTTCTTGGTATTTCATCGAGCCTTGATGTTCGTTTGCCGCAACAAGCAAAATCAAATTGACGTCCTGATTCTTTCATAACCGAGCATTGACGATGATGATTAGTTAATAAATTGTAGCAGAATGAAAATACTTTGCTTAGGATGTGATCACGACGAGACACTTGAAGAACCGTGGTACAAAAATTCTGTTCTGAAGCTCATTTAGAGGAAGTACTGCAATGACTCAATACGCTGTATGACAGAACAGGCAAGTGTATTAAAATCACAACTCTTGCACTATTTTAGAAATACGGCGTTAAACTCGACATCCCACCTTTTAAATCGAACGTCATGAAATATTCCATATCGTATGGGGGTAAATCTTTTGTGGAATCTCTTGCCGACCGAGTGCCATAAAGCAGATTGTTTTAATAGCTTCTCCAGAATGACTCAGAAACTAAAGCTAATTAAAGACAATGACTTTGTGAAACCGTTCTGCTGGATCTAACTGTCCGTCATTATACGTTGTAAGCTAAACGATATTGTTTGTCAGTCATTTTATTCATTACTTTGTTGATCAGATAGAAGCTTATGTTGATCATGACACGACCCCACAAGGTGGTAATATTTCACCCCCGTTGTGTTCAAATAAAGGTGATATTTACTTATTGGTTACTTACTTACCTACGTACTTACTTACCTACTTGCCTAATTACGTACTTACCTACTTACTCACTTATTTACTAATTATCAATGCTTCAGGCTTTCAACTGGAAACAAGGACTATCCAAACAAGTTCAAGGTTGACCAAAGATTATCTTGAACTTCCTATCTAATAAAATGTCCCACGTGCGTTCTCTTATAATACTTGTTACTTTAAAGAGTTTCTGAAATAAATTTGATGCTTGATATACCTTATTTGGCGGTTTAACATACTATGATATAAAGCGAGAAATTTGTGAGATTTGATTGGTGGACAGTATTATTTCAGTGTAATAGTGGTATAACGGCAAAATTGGATGACAACACCGAACACAATTACGCTTTTGTTTTCAAAAAA